ATGGATTTAGAAATAGAAAATCCCTAGAGGAAGATTATTAAATGGCAATTATGTTATCATTTATTTATGGAGCATATAAAAAATTGGTATTAAGTTAATCTGAAATAATAAATGTCATAGAAAAATATGTTTAACATGAAGAACTATTGCAAAAGACAACAGAGTCTACTTCTCATTGGCAAAGCGATTTCTATTTCTTCGTATAAACTGCATCGTACGAATAATTTGTTTGATTACCTATTAATACGAATTTTCGGATATTAATCAAAAATAATTTGTACTTTCCAGCAAAAGAATGCTTTCTTCGAAAAATGAAGAAGAGAAAAGGTAAAACGCTCGATTTATTCTTCGCTATTTTCTTTCTCTCTCTCCTCTCTCTCTCTCTCTCTCTCTCTCTCTCTCTCTCTCTCTTTCTCAACTTCTCCTATTTGCAGAGATAGCGTTTTCCTATTCATTGCCGAAGAAACTCCGACTTCTTTGACCTTTACTTATACTTGTCTATCAAAAATTTCACAATTGGTCTTTTGTGTGTAATTTTTCGATTTAAATATCTATCGATTAAATAATCTCTGCGTATTACTTCGTTTTTACATTTAAAGAGGTATTTACATACGTTGACTTGAAAAAGGTTGAATAAAATTGAATGTCACATTTAAATGATTAATCGTCGACATTGAGTCTTCAATTAGAAAATCAAGATTTTCTTCCGGCCCTTATCCACCGCTACCTCTCTCAATACCTACGAACAGCGTGCCAATTAACCATTGACAATCGGTACGTCGAACTCTCGGGCCATTTCCCTCTAGTATTTCGAGCGCTACCGATAGCAATTTTGAAAAGCTCTGCCTAATTCGAGCCGATGTCATTAATGTCCGTGATTCAGCTATAAATTATTCAGGATAATTGGATTCGGGCTACGCATAAAATCTACCAGGCAATATCGTTCCTATCCGTGACAGAGAACAACGATCTTTCTCTCTTCCTCTCTTACTCACGTTCTCTCGTAGTACGCGAAAGGGAACGAGCATACGCAGCAAGCGAGACCAGAGCAAAGAGGGTTGATCATGTTTTCTCTATCTTTCTCTCTCTCTCTGTCTCTTTCTCTCTCTCTCTCTCTCTCTTTCTCTCTCTCTCTCTCTTTCTTTTTGTCTCTGTCTCTTCATGCATCTCTCTCTACACCCTTTTTACTTCCATCCCTGTCTATCGCTTCGTCCCTCTGTTTTTCTCCGTTCTTCTCTGAGAGAGTGTGCTTTATGCCGTGCTTCGAAATACAGTGTAAATCGCTACTACCACTGGCTGCACAATTAGGTAGGGCAATATTTACTATTTGCCAATATGGCGATAGCTTAACGTCCCCGTTAACCCTCTTCTCCTCCGTCAATTCCTTCTCCATACCAAAACTAGCAATGCCATACTATTGCCTCCACTATTGCTGCTGTAACACGCGATAACAATCCTCGGCCGTATGTTCGGTACAATCAGAGATTGTCCGGCCGAATCAAACGCACGATCTGCTCGCTTGAGCGAATCTTGCTTCTCTGAATACAGTATTTCCAATGATTCGTGTCTTAATGAAGCTTACTGTTCGAAACTATAACTCGACAAAGCTGAAGGAATTAGGTATACTCGTGAGAGTTAGTTCGTTAGAGAACGAAAATCCATTGTAAGTTATTTGGAAAGAGCGTATAATATAAACTACATAAATAATGAAATGTGTTGATTATGTCATTTGACTCGTTGAAAAAGTATATCTTCTGAATAGCCTGAAATCAATAAGCTAAAAAGAAAAAAAGAAAACGAAAGAAGGAAAAAAAGAGAAGAAAGAATAAGTTTTGTAGTTAAATATTTTTCAGTGAACACGACAACGAACAGCCCTGACTCCCGAAGCGATGCGTTCTTTCAAGCGAAACGATGCGAGCTTTTCGCTCTACAGCTTTTTGCGCCTCGACTACGTTTCTTTGCGCTTCGTTTTATACGTAGAATAAAGAAAAACAATTTTTCTAGTTCAGCGTACAAGGGAAATTTAGTAAAAGGATAGGAACAAAAATTGTGAACAGGATCATCGAACAAATCAAAAAATATTTCTTTCTTTTTACTCAAATTTCATCGTATCTTTGCATGTTATTAAACCAACGTAATGAAATCACAAAGATGATTCTTCCTGCCAATTAGAGAAAGGAAAAGCTAAAAATTACTCGAATGAAGTTGCTATATATAACCATACGTTTGATTCAAAGTCCTCGGTACGATTTAAGAAAGCTCTTTGATGCGGTTACAAACCTTACTAAGGTTTTTGAAGGCCGACGGGGTGGTATTGAAAAGAAAAGAGTGTAAAGCACGAAAAAAGGAGAAGGAATAAAGGACGGAAGAAAGGGGAAAACGAAATCTAGCGAAGACCGTTAGGCATTCCATATTTCCTTTGAAAGCATATTCCTTAGTGGCCGGTCTCCAAAGTGAGAAGAGGAAAGAAGATAAAGAAATAGCATCGAAGTAGGGAAAGGATGAAAAGACGAATGAGATGGGCCTAGCGTTAATTAAGACGCTGTGAGCTATCTTTTTTCCTCTCCTATACACATCAATATACATAGTTCGAGTAAGTAAGCCACAAGAAACGAGGAAGAGTTTTCCGGTGGTGTCAGAATTCGAACATTGCTTACCTCCGAGGAATAAGAATGACCGAGTCTACACTTTTGACGAAATCAGACGATAGTGGATGAGGAATTTGTATGCTCGATTTCGTCGTTTGCTTTCATCTTTAAAGCATGGAGATAGAAATACAAAAAGAGAGATAGAAAAAGAAACATGTTTTTCCGATATAACAAAGAAAATGTACAATTTCACGATGAATTTCAAAGTGTCCGAGTTCTTAAAGTGCACTCCGCACGATGTCACTCCTAGATAGAATGAGAATAGAGAAAGAGAGAGAGAAAGAGAGAGAGAGGGAGAAAGAGAGAAAGAGAAACAGAAAGAGAGAGATAAGGAGAGATGGAAAGAGCGAGGAACGAATAGAGAATATGCCATCAAACTTCGGTCGGAATAAGAAGTGACGAAGTCAAAGTTTCAAAATCTCTTTCGAGCAAGTGTCACGAGTTATATCATCTAGAAAGCTCGTTTGAGCAATATAAAACGAGTTTACAATAAAATAAATAAATGGCCAGACAATAGAGAATAATTAAAATGATATACTATTATGTAATTTGATTATAAACCAAAATAAAATTATTAATTTTATCAAGATATGTATTATCTATATATACATAGATATATGTACTTGAATATTCAGCATGCTCATCTTGTGAAAATCAGTTCTTCCTTAAATACGATATTTTGTATGTAGAAACAGTGTATGTAAGAAACTATGTATATGTACATTTCAACAAAGGAAGACACTGCAAGAACGAACTACTAAACAGAAGGAAAAAGATATTTTTAAACTATCCAATTAGAAAGAGAGAGAGAAAGAAGAAGAGAGACTCGATTAATATAATCCCAAACTCAACAGCGTACTGTTGATTAAAATCGAAAACTTTCTCACGGGTGTCACGAGCCTTAATCGATAAAACGTACATCTGTATAGTACATACGTATCTCTGTAGGTATATGTGCTGGCACAGTTCGGAGTAAGCAAATATACCCGAAAACTCAGACTCTGTTTAGATAACTAGGAGAAAGGTTAATATGGAAGGACAAGCCGAGAGATAGCGAGAGAGAAATCGGGTTGGCGAGGCGGTGAAGCAGAGTGTTAATTAAGACGCTCGGAGTTATCTCACGACGAACAAGATGCGACGAGGTTACTGGAAGCAGTCTACGTTTGCGTGAAAAAAAAAACAGAACGAAAAAGAAAAGTGAAAAGAGATGGAAGAATTGAATATTCGAAAGATTGATCTTGGCCATGCTCTCGTATGTACATATGTAAAGACATTCGTCCATATGCATGTACATTGTGTCATAGAGAGAAAAAGAAAGAAAGAGAATGGCATGGAAGCGAAGAGGTCTCTTCTCTCGACTGTCTCCTTGTAGAATGAGAGAGAGAGAGTCAGGTATAAAGAAAGAGCTTGAAGAATGTGCACTCAGCGTGATTGGTGCTGCGCGTTCGTTGGATAGTCGTGGATGAAGGCATGAAAACTTAAAATTTTCCACCAACGCACACGCGTATATTTTTCAACACGCATGCATTCTTCCTCTCTCTCACTCTCTCTCCCTCTCTCTCTTTCTCTCTTTTTCTCTCTCTCTTTCTATCTATCTCTCACTCTCTCTCTCTTTCTCTCTCTCACTTTCTCTCTCTCTCTCTTTCTCTCTCTCACTTTCTCTCTCTCTCTTTGTTCGTTGACTCCATATATAACTTAACAGCGCAACTTCTTCACCTTACCTTTTATTTCGACTCTTTTCCTTTAAAAAAAATACCCCATTCAGGGTCGACGAACTCACCAGAAACTTGCGCCTTTTCCCCCGACACTCTCAAGAGCAATTAAAACAAGACGACGAATAAAAATGTCTAGGATAGAGGCTGTTAAATAATCGCACATGAAATTGTTCGAATTATTTGTGAGACATGATTCTTTTACTTTTACACGGTTTCGGATTCACGGATTATTCACATGGATTTACAAGTGAAGATTAAAACTCTTGTAATTTTATGCAAAGATATGGAAACGCCTTGGAGTTACGAAAGTATGCGTATTCGGATTTCGCGAAATCGTAGAGTTATTCGAGAGTGACGGCGGTATATGGTTAAGAGGGTGACTTTTGACGAGAGAAACTACTACTTTCCCTGGATATCTTCATTATAAATATTTACGAACCGAGGATTCTCCTGTTCAAAGCTGGAAATGCGCGTATTATGCGGATTCGTTGAATCGAAAAGTATTTCTCTTAGGACGATTTTGTGAGAAAGGATAGGCATTGGAAAATAAAACGATTATATAAACAGTACATCATTCCATTTATTTATAATATAAAACAAATAACAAGGATTTATCAATATAATGGAATTAAAAAGATATAATGAATAATCCAAAATCCATTATTATTGTTCTTACAATAATCGACAAAATTACTTCACGCATGTAAGTTTTCTTTAATTAATATTAAAAGACATTTGAAGATACGAGAACAACAGAAGAAGCTCCCGGCAGAACATAAGAAGACGTTTTGATTTTGGTACCACTGTTGATATTAGATCCTACACTGGCAGTATAGATAAGCAGTTGTTCGGGAATATTCAACCACGTTCTGGCATCAACTTGAACATCGGAATTCGAGAAATTGATCAGCAGAACAATCGTTGATCCTAGAAATCTACGTACAACGCCCAAAACTTTCTCGGTAACAAGAATACTTTCGAGAGATCCGCTCTCGATAATAGGCGTTCTCTTGAGCGCTATCATATCCTGGAAAACCTTATAGTGAGAGATAAGACTATTTTTCTGTATGTCCAAGTTTAAGGTCTTATAGTTACTATTCACGGGTAACCAAGTTTTGTTACTCGTAGAGAAACCAGCACTCGTACTGTTGTCCCATTGGAATGGTGTCCTTTCTGGATCTCTCGATTTAAAATAATATCTATCTGGACCCGCTTGACAACCTGCTGGATCGACTGTCTCTTCGTAAGTGAAATCTCTATCCAGCATACCAATTTCGTCGCCATTATAAACGACAGAAACACCAGGTAGAATCATAGACAGCATGTTCAATTGATCAGCTCGTTGTTTTCCGTATCTACTAGCAGCTCGATGGTTGTCATGATTTCCGACTACCCAATTGGCAACCGTGTCTTTTGAAGGAAGATTATTCATCCAACGATCGATAAGACGTTTGAAATCGGAAGCTGAGGATTGATTATTAAGTTCTGCCATGAACATAAAGTTAAATGGTACGGTAGAACCGGCGTTGTAGTATTTTACTGTAAGATCAAAATCTGCGTAAGCTTCAGTAAGAAGCATCTTGTAATTGCCTTTGATCTTATTAGAGTGTTCATCGAGTAACTTTCTCCAGCTTGAAAGTACGGTATACGTCTCGTTCTGATTTTTGGTGTAGATATGATTGAGAGTATCGTAGTCATCCGGTGGCAAGTCAGGACGATTAGCTGATGGCTCATCCAGGAATCTGGAATCCTCGAACATATGGTTAATCGCATCGATACGAAATCCCTCGACTCCGCGATCCATCCAAAACGAAAAAACATTCTTCATCTCTTGATCCAAATCCTTGTTACGGTAGTTAAGATCTGGCTGACCAACAGCGAATTGATGTAAGTAATACTGTTCTCGTTGCTTATTCCATTCCCATGCCGAACCTCCAAAAGCGGAGAGCCAATTGTTGGGTGGTTGCCTTGTACCATTAACGTATGTTGCATTTCGCCAAATATAATAGTCATCGTACGGCTTGATCTTTTGTATACTCTTTTTAAACCACGGGTGCTCGTGTGAGCTATGATTTGGCACAAAATCAAGTATTACCTTAAGACCGAGTGACTTTGCTTTTGCCACAAGTCTGTCAAAATCGTCCAGAGTACCATATTCTGGATTGACGTCTGTGAAATTAGAAATATCGTAACCGAAATCAACTTGAGGGCTGGTATAAATCGGCGATAACCAAAGAGCATCAGCATCAATATCTGCGATATGCTCCAATTTGCTGGTAATACCGTTCAAATCGCCGATACCGTCGCCATTGCTATCTTTAAAGCTTCTAGGATAAATCTGATAAATTAAGCTATTCTTGTACCAGTCGTTGTTCGCAGCCGAAGGTGACAACGAAAGGCAAAGCCCTAATAACACGACTTTTGTAACCGTTCCCCACATTTTCGATTACTGATTATACTCAATGATCGTTTGATTATTTATAGTAAACGACCCGATGAAAAAATATATCAAGTAGGTAGGCATATATAAGTGTTATCAGTTATAATGAAAATAAGATATTGATAAATCAAGTGAAGTATTTATTCGCGATATATTATTTACAAAACTTTATTGAAAGTATTTGATGTACGATTACAAATGAAAAATCTTGATTGTTTATCTACTGTGATAAATCTACGCGTACTGAAGATCGTTAACGTATGGATAACAAAATATCAGTTATCTACCTTTATCGTTTCACTTTGTAATCTATCAATATTGCAGTTTATGTTCGGCTCGTTATTCTAATTCTTTTACAATTTGTCGAAATACACCAATCATAAATTCTCTTGTTAGTTTATAGATGGTCTTTATAACGATCGCTGGTACCAAAAGAAGTTGTGCAAAGCGATAAAGGAAATCTAACATCTTCAAAGTTTTTTCTTTGTTTAAAATAAAATAGAATCCAAATACTGAATTCAACTCTCGCTCAAATGAAAGGATATCTCTTTTGACAATGAAATGCAAAAATAAATTATATACTTTTATTAATTGTCATGCACCAATAAATGAAGACAACAAGAAGAACCCTGTTAAAGTAGAGGAATTCTGGGATCTCCTGGACGATGAAATGTCTAAAATTCCAAAATCAAATGTAGTGATATTACTTGGAGATTTCAATGCCCAAATAGAAAGAGAGAGAATTCATAGACCAATAGTGAGAAAATATGCTGCACATCAAAGAACAAACAGAAATGAGATGAGATGATTACTTTTATACTATTTATAAAATTGATTACTATTCATAAAAACTTTCAATTGAAGTTAATGTCAACTTTCTTCAGGAAATTGCCAAGAAGAGCTAAAACATGAATTTCTCCAAATCCAATGCTAGGTGAATTTCAACTAGATCATGTAGCTATATCCAAAAGAAACATGAAGGAAATCATGAATGTCAAGGTAGTAAGAAGCAAAGAATTTGATTCCGATCACTATTTGTCTAAAATCAAACTCGAATTCTTACGCAACAGAAATCACAGAAGAGAGGAAAAAATAAATAAGTGCAACACAAATAGACTCCAAATTACGCAAGAAACTTTGGAAATATTTCAGGAAGGAATAAAAGTAACTCATCATGGGAAGTGGCAAGATTTATCTAAAGAAATAACGAATGCAGCTCAGAAAATATTTTGACTAGCCAAGCATAGAAAAAAACCTTGGTGGAATCAAATATGTGAAGACGCATTACAGGAGAGAACAAAACAATGGAAAAAGTGGAAATGCTCGGGAAGACTGAACATCATGATCAATTCAAATAACAAAGGAAAGACACTGCTAGAATAATAAGGGGAGTCAAAAGATCTTTCAAAAAATCACAACTTATTGACATGCAAGACAACTTTGTTAAAAATAATTCTCGAAACTTCTATCAGACTTTTAAGAGTCAATTAAAGGGGTATCAAGCGTCTAGCATATGCTTCAAAGATGAAAATGGTAAACTTGGCCTAAGTAATGCTGAGAACTGTGAAATACTTACGAAGCACTTTGATCAACTTTTAAACTGCCCTGAACCAAAACATAAGTTGCAATTCTCTGAAACAACTGAAAATCTGGAAGAAGATATACCACCCAATGCTGAAGAAATTAAAGAAGCAATTAACAATCTAAAAAATAATAAAGCTAATGGAAAAGACTCTATAACAGCTGAACTTTTGAAATGATCTCAATCAAAAATCATTGAACAGCTGCAGTTAATCTTTGAAGATATTTGGAGAACAGAGAAGTTTCCAGAAGAATGGAAAGTAGCTCTAATTCACCCATTACATAAAAAAGGGGACAAACAGAACGTTGATAACTATAGAGGCATCTCTTTTCTGCAAACTACATACAAGGTAATCTCAAAAATATTGCTGAATAGAATAGAAACAACACTTGACAAGCAACTGGGCGAGTATCAAGCTGGATTTCGAAAAGGTAGATCTTGTTCAGAACAAATATTTAACTTAAAATCCATAATTCGCCATAAGATACTGAATTCAAAGGACATAGTTGTAACTTTTATAGATTTTAAAAAGGCATTTGACTCAGTTGATAGAGAAACCATAGATAAAACAATACGTGAATTTGGAGTTAAAAATAAATTGACAAACTTAATGAGAAACACTTACTGATACGATTTCAAAACTAAAATTTATGGGTGAGATATCTAAACCTATTGAGATAAATACAGATGTAAGGCAAGGTGATGGTTTATCATCTCTTCTGTTCAACTGTGTTCTAGAAAAAATTGTCAGAATTTGGAATGTAAAGCTAAAAGAACATAACATTTCGCCAGTAACTTTGGGGATAAAAAATAAAGGTATTGAAATAAGTTGCTTAGCATTTGCAAACGATTTTGCTATAGTGTCAGACAACCTAAAAAGTGCAACAACACAAATCAATCTTTTGGAAGGAATAGCCAACAAAGCAGGTTTGAAAATCTCCGTAGAAAAAACTAAATTTATTACAAACATCAAGAACGCTCCAAAATTTTTGACTATAGATATTGGTCCAATGGAAAAAGTAAAGAAATTCAAATACCTGGTAGAAATAATTCAAGAAAATAGTTTAGAAAAATCTGCAGTAGAAGAAAAGGTACGCAAGATGGAAAAGGCGTATAGTATCACTAAGAATTTTTATAACAAACAGTGTTTATCTAAAAATCTTAAAATAAGGCACTGCATTACAGTAGTAAAACCGGAATGCTTATACGCGAATGAATGCTTGGTACTAAATTATAGATTAGATAAACTGGAAGTGCTGGAAAGGAGAATCATGAGGAAAATTTTAGATCCAGTAAAAACAACAGAAGTATGGAAATTAAGATCTAATAATGAAATATACAGGAACATAGAAAGCATAACAGGAACGATAAGGAAAAGAAGACTGCAATTTTTTGGCCATATTTACAGAATGGATGATTCCAGATTAACAAAAAGAATACTCATGTACCTTTGGGAGAAAAAGATAACTAGCTGGATTCAAGAGGTAAAGAAAGATCTAGAAAGAAATAATATAAGTGAAGAAGAAACTATAGACAGAGAGATTTTTAGAAAGAGGATATTAAGCATGGAAGGATTCTAAGGAAGATTGAAGAAGAAACCTGGTGCGAAGTGGTGTGAGGACAGAAAGAAATAGCATAGTGAAAAGATGAAGTAATATTGGAGGAAACGGAAGAGAAAACAGTTAAATGTGAAGAAATTGGCACGTGGTCAATTGTAACATCATTGTGTAGATATGTAGAATGCTCCATACGAACCATAAAATACCGTGAGCCTTCTACGCCATTTGAAAAACTATAAACATCGAGCTTGCGCACCTTCTCGTGTGTTCAAAACGTTTACGAGCGTTGACTTCTCATAATCTTACGAGACGAAACATAATTCAAAGCATTGTCATTAATGCCTATGATTCTGCTGTAAATTATTTATGTTAATATGATTCGAGCTACGCATAAAATCTACCAGGCAATCGTTCCTATCCATGACAACGATCTCTCTCTCTTCCTCTCCTGCTTACGTACTCTCGTAGTATGCGAGCAAAAGGGAACAAACATACGTAGCAGAGAAAAGATGGTTGATCATGTTTTCTCTATCTTTCTCTCTCTATCTCTCTCTCTCTCTCTCTTTTCCTTTTGTCTCTGTCTCTTTATACGTCTCTACATCTCACAACGTTTTTCTCTCCATCCCTATCTATTGTTTCGTCTCTCTGCTTTTCTATATGCCTCTCTAAAGAAGTGTAATTTATGCCGTTCGTCGAAATACAGTATAAATCGATATCACCACTTACTGCACAATTAAATAGTACAATGTTTACTATTTGCCAATTTGGGAATGAAGATTAAAAAACCTGTAATTTTGTGCTAAGATATGGAAACGCCTTGGACAAAAGTATGCGTATTCGGATTTCGCGAAATCGTAGAGTTATTCGAGAGTGACGGCGGTATATGGTTAAGAGGGTGACTTTTGACGAGAGAAACTACTACTTTCCCTGGATATCTTCATTATAAATATTTACGAACCGAGGATTCTCCTGTTCAAAGCTGGAAATGCGCGTATTATGCGGATTCGTTGAATCGTAAAGTATTTCTCTTAGGACGATTTTGTGAGAAAGGATAGGCATTGGAAAATAAAACGATTATATAAACAGTACATCATTCCATTTATTTATAATATAAAACAGATAACAAAGATTTATCAATATAATGGAATTAAAAAGATATAATGAATAATCCAAAATCCATTATTATTGTTCTTACAATAATCAACAAAATTACTTCACGCATGTAAGTTTTCTTTAATTAATATTAAAAGACATTTGAAGATACGAGAACAACAGAAGAAGCTCCCGGCAGAACATAAGAAGACGTTTTGATTTTGGTACCACTGTTGATATTAGATCCTACACTGGCAGTATAAATAAGTAGTTGTTCGGGAATATTCAACCATGTTCTGGCATCAACTTGAACATCGGAATTCGAGAAATTGATCAACAGAACAATCGTTGATCCTAGAAATCTACGTACAACGCCCAAAACTTTCTCGGTAACAAGAATACTTTCGAGAGATCCGCTCTCGATAATAGGCGTTCTCTTGAGCGCTATCATATCCTGGAAAACCTTATAGTGGGAGATAAGACTATTTTTCTGTATGTCCAAGTTTAAGGTCTTATAGTTACTATTCACGGGTAACCAAGTTTTGTTACTCGTAGAGAAACCAGCACTCGTACTGTTGTCCCATTGGAATGGTGTCCTTTCTGGATCTCTCGATTTAAGATAGTATCTATCTGGACCCGCTTGACAACCTGCTGGATCGACTGTCTCTTCGTAAGTGAAATCTCTATCCAGCATACCAATTTCGTCGCCATTATAAACGACAGAAACACCAGGTAGAATCATAGACAGCATGTTCAATTGATCAGCTCGTTGTTTTCCGTATCTAC